CCGAGCCGAGAGCCGCGGGACGCGGGGCTGCCGGAACCTGCGCGGTCCTAGGGCCAGTTTTCTCCCCTAGATCTAAGTAAGTCCCCGCCGCCGAATGGGACTCCGTGTGCGGACGCAGCCGGCGACGCCGTGGACCCCTCCCACGCGTGCAGCGTCCTCAGGCAGCTCAGAGCCATGTACGAGGAGGCACAGCTGACGGACATCGTGGTGGAAGTGGACCACGGGAAGACCTTTTCCTGCCACAGGAACGTGCTCGCTGCCATCAGCCCCTACTTCAGGTATGAGGGCGCCCGACTCGTGCTGGTGGCCGCACCGACCCCTCCGTGAGACCATGGTGACGATTAGCACGAGACGGGACCGCGGGTCTCGTCCCTCCCGGGCCCCGCTGCTCGCTTCAGGGACTCCGCCAGCGCTCAGGTGGCTGTTTTAAAGTTGGTGGTTTGACATTCACGACCAGGAAATCTAGATTTGTGCTACTCAACATGGCAGCCACTGGCGACATGTCGCCGTTTGACCAAGTCATTTAAAATTAAACCAGTTCCTCAAGTACACAGTGTAAGTGCTTAGTAGCCACTTGTAGTGCTACTTAGCAGCTGCGGTATTGGGCAGCACAGATAAACGGCATTTGCATCGGTAAAAGTTTTCCGGGGGACTGGGTCTGTAGCCCAGTGGCAGACCTCTTGCCTAGCACGTGGGAGGCACTGGGTTGGAGCCTCAGCACTACATAAACATACATACCTAAATTGATTAATAAACGCATGCTGTCCATCTACAACTACAGTGCTGATTTAGAATCTGTTCCAAAAAATTACTCATGATGCGTTTTTTTAGTATGTGTATCTCTTTTGGAGTTTAAAATCATAGAAACTTGTCCTTCACCAACAAATGACAAATGACCATTCAGTACATTGTCTTAAAACCATGGGGGTAAAAGCAGTAGAATAAAAATGAATATAGTTTGTGTGTGTTATAGGCACCAAACTAGTGATTATTTCCAAGATTTTAGAAGCATTTTTATCACTTTAATTTAGGTTGGTTTATCATAAAATGTTGAAAGGTAAACATTTAAAACTTGGGTTTGAAAAATTGCTTCCTACTCTTAAAAAGAGATTCATGGAAAAGGTAGTTTCCTCCCTGTGGGTTACTTCTTTTGTTTCAGGTGCCCACATGCCCTTCAGTATTCAAAAGTGGTGCGTGAATGACAGTAAAATCATCATGTCAAGCACACATTTTTAGTGTTCTTTTTCTGCTTACCTTTATAGGGCACATAATAATGTAATGTTCCAGGTTACTTTCTGGTTCCTCTTTCTCAGAATGCTTTGGTTAAAAATAGTTACCTGGGGGCTGGGGATGTGGCTCAAGGGGTAGCGAGCTCGCCTGGCATGCGTGCGGCCCGGGTTCTATCCTCAGCCCCACATACCAACAAAGATGTTGTGTCTGCCGAGAACTAAAAAATAAATATTAAAAATTCTCTCTCGCTCTCTCCTCTCTCACTCTCTCTTAAAAAAAAAAAATAGTTACCTGGGTCTGATGCTTGTGATATAATCATTTAGACTTGCCTTGGGTAGGTAGGTGACTGGACTACCGAGTATTAATTATCACAAGACAGTTGGAAGGGAAAAAGGTGAAACTCACATATGTGAAGTTTGGCTTGGCAATGGAAACTCCTGGTGAGATTGACTTGTCCACACTATTGAATAGATATGTGTTTAAATACGTGGCACTATTGCTCCTTGTCAAGCTCCAAGCTAAGCATACTTTACATGTGTTGCTTTAGATCATCTTTATAATCCTCATTTCAGTGCAGTTGTTATTCCCATTTTACATGTGAAGAAACTGAGGATCACAGAGTGATGCCTACATCATCTGACTACAAAATAGCAGAGACTAGAATTGACTCCAGAGTCAGGCTTTTTACTTATTTCATGACTCTTAAGGAAGGAAAGTGGATAAAGTCCTCTTCAAAATATTCTTTCAAAAATTTTAATTTGGGGCTGGGGATGTGGCTCAAGCGCCACATGTGGTAGCGCGCTCGCCTGACATGCGTGCGACCCGGGT